CCCAAATCCACAGGCCGGACTGTGTCAGAGGCTCACAGATCAGGATGACTATGTTTTGAAGACAACCCACACAAGAAGTTAAGAGAAACCAAATCTAAACTTTAAAAAGCTGGGGGATGATGTGCCATCTTATCTATGCAGAAATCCTAAGTAGGAAGACTGTGGTCATGGCTGGCCTTTGCAAAAACATCTGAGACCTTACGTGGAAAATTACTAAAAGCAAAAATGGGGTTAGAGGTATAGCTTAAGAGGTGGAAAGCCTTCTTAGCAATCATGAAACTCTGCTTTAGGACTGCCAAAAGAACTAATGAAAACCCCACCTAAGGGGAGAAAATGATATTTGATTGGGTTTTCAAATTTAGAATGTATACAGAACTTCTAAAACTCAAAAATTATCATATTAAAACTGGGCAAAAGACTTGAAATGTCTCTAAAGAAGATACACAAATGGCTAATAAACATATATAACAAAGATGTTATACATTAGTCATTATGAAAATAAAAGCTAAGCCACAATGAGGTATCACTTATTTTATATTCATAGATATTAAGAACAAATACTAACCATGTTGATGAGTATACAGAGAAATCAGAACTGCTGTGCCTTAGTGGCACTAAGATAAAACACAGTTTCTATAGTAAACAGCTTGGTTACATACAGAATTATCACATGATCCCATTAACTCCACTCTTAAGTATAAGTGCAAGGATGTGAAAAGGGCTCAGAAAGATATCTTAACACCAGGTTTCATAGCAACACCATTCACAATAGCCAAAACATGGACACAACTAAATGTGCCTCAGTAGAACCAACAGAACTTGTTGAATATACATGAGCTAAACACACAGGATAAATATTGTATGGTTTCATTTATATGAGTAACCTAGAATAGAAAAATTGATAGAAAGGAATCTGAATAATTATTAGGAGCCAAGGACATCGAAAATGGAGAGTTACTGTTTAACTGACAAAGAATTTGTAAAGAATAAGAAAAAGGTTTTAAATAGGTAACAGCGATGGTTGATTCAAAACCATTCAATTTATACATTAAAATTCAATTAGTTAAAATGACATGTTTAATACTATGTTTAGTGATATGTTTAATAATAATAACATGTACATAATATCAAAAAAGCATTGTTCCTTGGAGATATGGCAGATATGGCCAGAATTACTATGAAACAGATCTAACAGGATCACATGGTCCTCTAAAATTAAAGTGTTCAAAATGTGGCATCTGTATTAATTTTGAATTATTATTCTGCTATTGAATTTTTGTGTTCTTTATATATTTGGATATAATTTGCCTGTCAGAATAATATCTGGCTAAGATTTTCTCGCTTTCTTAGTCAATCTGTATAGTGGGGCATAATTGCCTTTCATCTCTTTCACTCTTGCTTCACAAATACTTCTGTCATTTCTAACTACCCAAAGAATTCCCTGTACTATTCCTTTTAGTGTATGCCTATGACAACTTATGTTATGTTTAGAGGTGTTTATATTTTGCCATCACTCTTGTCAGCTATTACCACTAGGTATAGTATTCTAAGTTGACAACTGTTGATTTTAGCACATCAATATGATGTCCCATGGCCTGCATACAATGGCTACTATCATTTATTTACTTCCACAGGTTCCTTCTATCCAGGAGCAATGTTCTTGGAATCCTTAAGACCTGATACCTGTCTTCCAAAGAACAAGTAGTTTTGAATTAAGGAGACTGGGTCTCAGTAACACACCTGGCCATCCTGGTGCCTTGCTGTATAGAGGGGCATTCTACCCAGCTCTAAAAAGCTTAAAGATGAAACAAGCTATGCTTTGAATTTCAGATGTTTATTCTAGGAGAGTTAGGAGAGCTCTGCTTCAGAGAATATACAGATATTATGCTGTTTAGCCTCAAGAAAGTTTTACTTGTACCTGAATTTCCTCTATATGGTCTGCTTCTGTTGGAATTGGGTCTCTACCCCAAACAGGTGGTTTTTGTCTTTAAAAGCTTTGTATGAGTTCTGTGTTTTTTGTCTTTAAAAGCTTTGTACAGAGGCTGGGAAGGTAACTCAGTGGTAGAGTGCTTACTGAGGCTGGGAAGGTAGCTCAGTGGTAGAGTGCTTGCCTTGCATGCATGAGGCCCTGAGTATGAATCCTCAGCACCACATAAGCAGAAAAATCTGGAAGTATGGTGCCATAGCTCAAGTGATAGAGCTCTAGCCTTGAGCTGAAGAGCTGAGGGACAGCGCCCAGGCCCAAGTTCAGGCCCCAAAACCAACCAAAAAAAAAAAAAAAAGCCTTGTACAAGTTGTATGTGGGGCTGCAGGCCTTTGAGACTAGAGTCCACCTACAGTCACCAGCTTTCTAATAAAGACTCCCAATTTGACCTCTCAAAATGTGGCTTCTCTGTTTCTCACCAATCAAGTTCCCATACAAAAGTTTTCATATGTTCACTGACTCCTTTGGTGAATACTTGCTTTAAGCTACTCTATCACAGCTAAAACCTTTTTTTAAAATGTAAGATTTTGACCCAGGAAGTCTATATTTTATTGCTAATTCTTTAAAATATTTATGGTATTTCATTAAATTTCAGTAAGGTATGTTGTTCCCATTAGAAGGTCTGCTTTGTGTAAACCAAGAATATTTTTAATTCTATTTTTATTATCTTTAAGTAGTTATACAAAGAAGTTACCATTCAACAAATCATTTTATAAATGCAATGTATCTTGATCATTCTCCCCCATAGCTCTCAACCTAATCCTTTCCCTTAATTTTCTTAGTTTCATAGGGTATCCACTGAATATTATGACTATATTCTCCCACCAATCTTTTGATCTTCCTCATACCACTCTAGTCCAGTTTCCTGGTATTCATTTTGGTGGACTGTGAGTTAATTTATATCTTTTGAAAGAATATTTTTTGAATATATTCTATTACCAATTCAGAGAAAACCTATTCTTTGACCATAACTTTTTACTTAATCTAAATTTCTAAGAAACATAATTCTTAAAATTAAGAATACAGAGCTTTGTGGATCTGAAGAAATAAGTTTTCTTTCTCAGTGATAAAAGAACTCTGTAAGCTTAAGTACATGAAGTAAAAGAATACCATGAAAACTTTTTTGTTGTTGTTTCTGATCTTTTGACTTAAAATTACATCAAGGGCTCCTCAAGGTTGAACATATGAACAAGATAAATTTTTAGAGTCTAAAAATATTTTAAAACAAATTTATCTACTTAACAATTCACATTTATTATACAACAAAAGTATAGGATATATTACTAATACCATCTCAGGATAAATACGTATGTTAATTAAATGTGATACTATTTGTAATCCTCACCGGTCCAAAACTACTATTTCACTTGAAAAAGTTATACTTAAAAATTTTTAGTTTGTCTTTATTGAATACAAATATAAATGCATATAGACTGTATTTTATTTCTATTTCTAGGATTTCTTCATCTTTATCAGTATTCTAGAGTGATATGTGATAGTCTTCCATCATCAAAAGCATTACAAAATTGGTGTCTATAAGTGTTTTATTTGTTAAATTTATACTCTATTTCCTAAGGAAACCTTTTCAGTGTATTTTCCCAAATTTCATATAACAAAAACAAGAAAAATTACAAAGCAAAACCTAACCAAATTAGAATATAAAGAATACTTAGTATTCAATTAATTTATAGGCTTTTAATCTAGTTTAATAGAACAAAGGAAAATTAATCAGAGAAGGCTGAGTGAAAATGGTATTTAGTGTCAATTATGCTGAAAATATATTTTTTTTTTGTCAGTCATGGGGCTTGAACTCTGGGCTTGAGAGCTATCCCTCAGCTCTTCAGCTCAAGGCCAGAGCTCTACCATTTGAGCCACAGCGCCACTTCCGTTTTTCTAGAGGTTTATTGGAAATAAGAGTCTCACGGACTTTCCTGTCAGGGCTGGCTTTGAACCTTCATTCTCATAGGAAGGTTATGCCCCTCGCTGTGCCTCAAGAAGCAGTCCTAGCCTGTTGAAGATTGAGTCTAGCATTTTCCTTTCTCCTTCATTTCTTTAACAACCTCTATGGAAGTAATGCCTCTCTAACAAAGCTGGAAGATAAATGTATGACAGAGTGGTTCAGATCCTGCAGTGCTATGCCCAAGTCAGCAGGGGAAAAAACCCAAAACAAACAAACAAAAAACCTGCAACAAAATAATTCAAGTTCTTACTTCAAAACAAAACAAAAGGCCGGGTGCTGGTGGCTCACGCCTGTCATCCTAGCTACTCAGGAGGCTGAGATCTGAGGATTGCAGTTCAAAGCCAGCTCAGGCAGGAAAGTCTGTGAGACTCTTATCTCCAATAAACCACCAGAAAACCTGAAGTGGTACTGTGGCTAGTGGTAGAGTGCTTGCCTTGAGCTGAAGAGCTGAAGGACAGGGCCCAAGCCCAGAGTTCAAGCTCTACAACCAACCAAAAAAAAAAAAAATCATAGAGAGAGCCAAACTTACCAATAACAGTTTCTAAAGGTATTTTATTTGTCTTGACTTAGGGTAAATAAATCAAGTGCCTTCTATCTATAGCTGTGTTTATTCCCTAACAATTGCCTAACAACCACCTTTGCCATAAAGTTAATACTAAGAACAAAATGAAGTCAGCTTTTATTTTTTTTTTATAATTCTCTTTTGTATGGTTGTGTTTGAACTCAGGGCCTGAAGCTATCCCTTAGCATTTTCTACTCAAGGCTACTGCTTGCTCTACCAACTAAGTCACAACTCTACTTACAGCTTTCTGCTGTGAACTTTCCTGCTTGGGCAGCTTCAAACCACGATCCTCAGATCTCTGCCTCCTGAGTAACCAGGATTACATGCCTGAGCCACTAGCCCCTGACCAGTTTTATTTTTGTACATACTTAGCCTACAGTCTTTTAAAACACACAACTTCAAGTAAACTAAATAATGTATGTATTCACTTAGGCACAGTGGAAATGTGCGAATTTTCATCCATACAAAACATGAGAGCACAATTCATTACATACCACAGCACTCAGGACATTTTGGATGCTTCAGGACATTCATTCCATATCCCGGAAAGCAGCGATTGATCCAAACCATTTGGAGAGTACCTTCAATATAGTATATTTCAGGCAATGGTTCTGAACGTCTGCCAATAGCTTCTACTTGCTGATTAAAAAATCTTTCTATGAGAGTTTTAGCCTAAAATAAAAAAAGTTTATTAACTACAAATAAGTATAAATTTAGAATAATAAGGTAGAATCATTATAAAACAAAGTTTCTAAGTTTCTTGGTCTTATTTCAAAGAATATAAATACCATGTAAAAACAAAAAAGATGTCATTTCTATACATAAAGTATTTCCAAATGTACCTCTATATAGAAGAGAAAGACATATTCTGAATATATAACAAATTGTTTTGATCATTTCAAATTTTGATAATATACAGATAGACAACTGAGAAAAATTAAGATAGCTCCTTGAATTTAAATGCAATAGAGTACTGTTAAGTACTGGTAAATCTTTCAAAGAATTATTTTTCCTTTAAATGTGCAGATATTGGGACAGGAGAGAGATAACTCCCTCAAAGTTGCTAGACCCTTCCCCAGGCTCAGATGTCTTGACCAACATACTGTCAGCAACATAGGTGGACCACTCCCATGTCTGGACTCAAAGTACAACTCTGGCCTATGATCAACTGGCTATTTTTAAATAAAAGCCTTATAGTTACACCAATCTGAATTATAGACAGTTCAACAAACAGCCAGATTCAACTACCAGATAATGGAATATCAACTATAAAAATGATATGTTTAAAATATATAGATATGAAATGAAATAAGAACATGAAACACAGACAGCATATCTGAAAGTTAGCCTATGTGAACTACAAAGAGTAAATGGAATAAAATTAAAAGTTCAAAAGAGAACTGAGCTAGAAAAATAAAATGTAATAAATATATGAAGAAATCATTCACAATGTAAAACATAAAAAGGAAAAAAACCTATAAGATTGAACAATAAACACAGAAAAATCAATAAGAAAATGAAAAATACAGTGAACTGAAATCCCAGAAAGGCAAAAGGGAAACAATACTTTCAAAAGGATTCTGGCTAAAAATATTTTTGAACTGATGAACGCTATTAACTCCAGAAATAGGTGGCAAAATAAATTCTGAATGAATAAAAATAGCAGAAAAAAGAATATTTATATGTTAGAAGGAAAGAAAAGTGAGAAGTAGATAAAATGTCACTGGCCTTCTGAAATAATTTTAACTAGAAAAATATAAACAACAAAATATAAAAACAAACATAAAAGCAATTCATTAGAGCTAAATGTCATGAAGGCTCAGAAATAATTTCAAATATACATACATGTTAAAACTTAAAGCAAAACCACTTTAAAACAAGCCACAAAGAAAAAAATGAATTAAAAAAAAAACTGATCAAAGTCAGGTACAGGTGGCTCACATCTGTAATCCTAGCTACACAGGAAGCTAAGATCTGAGGATCAAGGTTCAAAGACAGCCCAGGCAGGAAAGTCTTCATACCCCCAATAAATCACTAAAAAGCTTAAGTGAAGCTGTGGCTCAGTTGATAGAGTGCTAGCCTTGAGCAAAAAAGCTCAGGGAGAGCTCCCAGACCTGAAGTTTAGGCCCCAGAACAAGGACCACCAATAGTGACAACAACAACAAAATCCTGGTAAGTTTAAATTTTTAAATATGTTTTTATTGTAAAAATACTGTACAGAGGGGTTAGTTACATGAGTAAGATAATGAGTATATTTCCTATCAAGCATTGTTATCTCCTTTTTCCCCTACCACTCTTTCCCTCCCCAAGTCCCCAACTCCTCCCCCTGTCCCCAACTCCTCCCCCGCCCAGTTGTAAAGTTTGTTTTCAACATAGTGTCTTATACATCACATTGTTATTTCCCTTCCCCTCCCTAAATCAGAAAAATGTATATACAAGATTCAGGCACCTACATCAAATACAATGAAAATAGGGGCTATACTGTGGGGGAAGAACATACAAGAGAAACAAAAAAAATCACATAGTACATTTTGAATACGTAACGTATTCAAAATGTACTATGTGATTTTTTTTACGTACTCAAAATGTACTATGTGATTTTTTTGTTTCTCTTGTACGTTCTTCCTCCTTTTTTTTCCACTTAACATTGATCATATGTATACAGCTTTTGACCTTTTCTGCTTGTCCTAGACTTATACAGTTTAAAAATTTTTTTAAAGATGAGGAAGAAAGAAATCCTTCCTCAGAAGATAGAAACCTCAGAGCAAAAACAGCAAAGAAATTGTGGAAGTACAGTTATAAAATATAATCAATTTGAAAAGGTACAATCAAAAGAAGGCAGATTAAAGGAATAAAATTTAAAAGATGGATGTAAAGGAATATCAGGATGCTAAGAGTTAAATCAAATCAAAATACTGTCAATTGAATTTAAAAGCAGAGCTAAACTATATTCTATAAACAACAAATGTTATTTTGTTCACTATCAAATGTAACCATTTAAAAATATTTATATTACACTAAATACAAAATTGACATAAAGTTTAGCAAAATGTGCATATGAGGAAAAAGTTGAAACACAGTTTAGGAAAACATGACATAAATGACTGAAGAAATGTAATAAATTCATTAACTGGAAGGATAAATATGTTAAAACACCACTTCTCATCACAACAACCCTTTCTACACAGTCCCAATATAAATCCCAGTATGTTTTATAGATTCTTACAGGGTATTTACTTAGAAGTCGAAAGTAATCAAAACAGAAACTTAAGTGATCATGGAATAGTATCCAGTGTATACTAAAACAGAGCTGTTGTAATCACAGCAGTATAATCTGGGCTGAGAATGCCTGATTCTCAGTTATGTGAAGGCAGAGATAAGACTATCTTCAGCCTGGCACTGGTGGCTCATGTCTGTAATACTAGCTACTCAGGAGGCTGAAATCTGAGGATCATGGTTCAAAGCCAGCCTAGGCCTGAAAGTCCATGAGACTCTTATCTCCAATAAACCACCAGAAAACCGGAAGTGGCGCTGTGGCTCAAGTGGTAGAGCACTAGCCTTGAGCTAAAGAGCTGAGGGACAAGCCCCACAACCAACAAAAAGGAAAAAATAGCCTTGTTTCGGGCCAGACAGGGCAAAAAGTTAGCAAGATCCCATCTCAAAAACAACCAAGCTGGGCCTGCTGGCCGGAACCTGTAATTCTAGCTGTGCAAGAGCAGAGTTAGAAGGTTAATGGTTAAGAGGCTGGTCCCTGGCAAAAATAAGAACTTATCTGAAAATGAACAAAATCAAAAAGGGTTGGGATGTGGCTCAAGTGGTATCATATATGCAAAACAAGCTCAAGGAGAGAAAGAGAGAAAAAAAGAGCAACAACAAAAAAACCCACCTCAGAATAGTCTGGAGTAAGTCACAACTAAAGGATCAGAGAGAATCTAGAAATAGACATACAAATTCAGTTTGTCAACAAAATTCAGTAAGGAAAAGAAAAGGCTTTTCAACCAGCAGCACTAGAACAAATGGATGGGGTGGGGGGGGGCGTGGGTGGAAATCAACCTTCATTATTCTTTATAAAGTAAAAAGAAATACTGTAACAATGCAGACTCTTACAATAGCATGAACACTATATACAACAAGATTTTTGTAATTCAAACAGTAAACACAAAAGCTGTAACTCAGAACCAGAACTAAACTAGAGGTAGAGAATGATTTTTAAACAGACATGCTACACCCACACAAAACAATAAATGACAGGGTTCTTACCACTACTGTGAAGACAGTTGGTATAATATTCCTTATATGTTCTCCTTAATATAATTTTAATAATGGTGGATATTATATTCAAACCCAACATAAAAAGACTCATATAGGTGACAAGTAAGAGGCAATCTAGCTAGAGACCTTATAACCAATGAAAGACATTATAATGACTTCTTTTGAGTTTTCTTGGCAACCTCCAGCCAATAAAAGCCTACTCTGTAGTCAAAGAATCAGAAAAAGAGCAGCTTAGTAAAACAACAGTTACTTGATAACTGTTCTACAAAAGCAAATACCACTGGGGAAAAAAACTTTGAGATTAGCCATAATTGGCTTCCAAAGGGCTAAGAGAGGGCCTACAGATGTTTTCTCTCTCACCACTTTTCACACTAAGGTGTTATAAGGCCAAGTAGAAAGCAAATAGTATAGGGATTTTTATTCCTCCACTCCTCTCTTAGGCAGCAATGAGTCAATCCATTATACAATGTAAATGATGCACACATGGGTATTTGGTTCTCCAATCTAACTCAGGTGGTAATAAAGTCTACCTCAACAGTTGTACAGTCATTGGAGAATACAGAGGATTCCAGAATACTTCTAACTGGTAGTCATGAGATGCCTCTTGCTCTTCCTACTCAGTTGTTAATAAACTCTGCAGGTGCTATAGCTGAATCTCTAAAAGACCACAGAACTCTTTTGTAAGTTACAGTACAACCATGAGTAGGGCACTCTGCCATGCTTCATTTTCAGTCAATGTAAGTTCTCTCATCAGGAGGGCAATATGAAACACCATGTGAATAAAGCATTTTGTAGGGCTATGTAGAGCAGGTTCAGTAAAACCTACTTGCATGTAGACAGTAAGTGCTATTTCAGTAAGAAGTAAAAGCTGACTCAGCATGGAAGGGGTTCAGTGTAAACAATCTGCCACTAAGCTGGTGGATAATTACCTTAGCTGAGGGGGCTCAGTGTTGGTGTTAGTAAATGGGAGACGGGGCACTCAGTTGTGGCCATAGAATAGGTTTGATGAGTGGAAGCCCTGTTGTGTACCCAGGCATAACTTCCATCAGTGGCACCATGAACAACTTGTTCATGAGCCCAATGGCAGTGGCTGAGCAAAGGGGCTCACTAAAAAGTGATCCTTTGCTTTAGTCACCCTTTTGTGAACATTCCCACAGGACATAAATAGCTTCACTTTATTTTTGCCTACTCAAGAGAGTTTTTTCTACCTGCCTCTTCTCCAAATTTCTTTCATTAATTTTACAATCATATTTCTCATGATTGACCAGATCAGGATCCCATGAATCAGCATATACTTGGACAAGAACCATTATACTTCGAAGCAAAGTGCCGAATAACAAGCAAGAGTAATACACCCCAATGAGGACAGGACTATGCTGCTGCCCAATTCTCAATCTTCC